TTGGTACTGAAATATCATTTCAACAATTGTTTTAAGGACTCGTTCCTAAGTGTCCCTTTGAGGAAGCTCTTGTTGATTCGATTATGGATCAGTTTAAGGATTTTATGAACGAAATTCGTCCACTACTTGTGGTTGCTATGGGTTTCGCTGAAGGAGATATGGTGAGTAGAATAAGGAGAGAAATGCTGGAATCTACAGGGTGCACGAAAAATATTTGCCAATTGGAAAAGCATTCATGCAACATACGCAAAGTGAGTACAACAGAATTCTGTATAAAAAGGCGAGTAAAAGACATACTCATATATTTTATGCTCAATCAAGCATTTCTCTGCCAACAAACTGAAAAAATTCTGAAAAAAAATGAATACTTCCTCTTAAACAGATTTGACACAAATTATAAAGAATCTAAACAAGTCTATTTGGAACGCACATGCGAAACTTACTACTTTGGTTTTGGAAGTAATTTTATAAGAAAAGAAGCAATGGTTTGACAATAAAACATAGAATTAGAGTTTACGATTACACAAAATAATAGAGGAACCTTTCCAAAATATCAGTTCTTCCATAAAAGTAGAGGTGTTCCAAAAACTTCTATCGCATCGCTCAGCGTAGATTCTTTTCTCATTTGTCCAAAACAAGAATAACCTATTATAGCATAAGTGAGATTCTTACCTAATTTAGTCCACTCACATTTTTCACTGTAGGGTTGGCATGCTGTTAAATGTAATCATTTGATTGTATAAAGCAATCATAATGAGTGATTATGAGCCTCTTGCTAATAATTCATAGAATAATAAAAGGTGTAAGCGTTTATAATCCAATAATCATATATAATATGTGGTACAAAAATACAGGACAAACTAACCAAAGATGTATTCCTTCCTGCTCGTGACAAATTCTTTGGATATATGACGAACTTCCTCAAAAAGAGCAATACAGGTATGTCCTTTATAAAAACCTTTTAATACCAATACAGCGATTTTTGCCAGCAAATTAATCTCTTTTTCTCAACGCGTTTCAAGGTTACCTCGTTGGCAGTTCGATAACCGTTGCCGATCTTCTTCTCGCCGAGTTTTCCTCCGAATTTTCCAAAAAACTCCCCACACTTTACGATGGATTCCCAGAGGTATAGCAACATAATATAATATTTAAGTTTTTCTTTTATCAGAATAACGCTTTGCAAAGTAACAGAATATATGACTCTTTTTTTAGATCAAAGCTCACGCTGAAAAAGTCCGCTCGAACCCTGCTCTCAAAAAATGGATTGAAACTCGTCCACAAACAAAATTCTAAACAATTTTTTGAATTTTATTTGAGTCCTCATAATAAATAGTTTTCTCGAAATATCAACAGAGAGTAAAGAAACAGGAGGATCTTGCAAAATTTTTTGATGCCGATACTGTGCACTAATGCAAGACTGTTCCTGTCATCGTTTCTGGTGAAACTATCATTGGGTCCTAGACGTTGAGAAAACTATTTAATTATTG